TTTTTTTGATACTTGAAACATTTGTCAGAGAGGAGAACTTTGAATACGCACGCTTTGCAGCCTGCGCACGGGACGATCGCGCGAGACAGCTTATACGCGCGTGAGCATCAGGTTCCGCACAAATAAGCATCAGGCTGTGCGGCACGTGAGGTAGGATGTAATCCAAAACAGCGGAAGGATCGTAATTTGAATCAAGCTCTTCTGAAATTTATATCCCATATAAGGGAATGATAGAAAGATTAGAAACATGGATAAAATCTACAGTCAGTGATGCCTAGAGTAATTGGTAACAAAGGGACGTTCAATGCATTCCCAAAACGTGCAGTTTTTGAGGATAAAAGGAAGTAGAAGGGAATTGTAACAGCGGGCGAAGATAACACTGAGTACGTACGTACTTAGTCCCACAAGGTGAATAAGGTAACACGAAGGAAAAAATTTGAAAGCACTCGTTTCATTTTCAAAGTATTGTACATGCTTTGGCGCGAATTAGGTTATCGAATTGTTACTTTCTAGTCACCTTTAACTCCGAAAGCTTGATTTTATGTTTCTAAGTGCCTCCTGTAGTCAGTGCAGTCTTATGATTTTAATAGCCGTAATTTTGACATAAAGGCTGTTTTATTTTTGTTGGTTTGTTTGTTTTTTTAAAAATTTTTTTCAATGCTCTATTGTGTTTATCGCCTCGTCTTATATGTGCTTAATCACTGCAATATTCCTCTAGAGTTTGTGTTTAAGTTGCTTCCCATTTTTTCACCCATTGTAGTGGGTTGTGCCTTTCATAAGACATCTAATTTGTTCCAAATAAATGAAATTTCCAGGTTGTATATGATTTTTAATCAAACTGCGCGCATTTTGGTTTGTTGTCGTATAATGGAAAAGAAATTTAATAAAATTCAGCAACGAAACACCCAGAACTCAATACAATTGATTGTGGAAGATTATCATTTCATTCGTACTTATTAAATACGAGATGGCACACATGTACTTTTCGGTACCTATTTTAATTTTAGAACCAGTGAAATTTTGGCCCCTGCCTGAAAAAAAAAACGATCTTCTAGCAGTCAATGTGAAAGGAATGAACGGGGTTAATATGTGAATGAGACTGTGGCTAAGGTATCCGGTGTAACGTAGTTCTTGAGGTGTCTGCGACTTTAGGATTAAGAAGACTGTTACTCTTCATGGCTGTGATTATACCTTCTCTTATGACCTAAACATGGTTAAAGCTGTTTTGTTGAACTTCTTAGGAGCTTTTTAAAGTTCCAATTTGGTACTTTGAAAGTACAAGTTTACGATTACTTGACTTATGGAAAATTCAGGTTTCACTATTCTGTGGCTGATTTTCATTCAGGTAAACCTGGTTAAACTAAACTTGCTTTGCTGGTGTGAATGGGATATTAGACTACTTCCTCGAGTGCATTAGTTTTGTAGTCGAGTATCAGAGGCTATACGAGGTCTAAGTACAAATAATTAGTTTTATTGACGAATTTTCTAGGTTGTAGAGAAGTGTTGACTGCAGTACAGCCATATTTTTAGCGAGCGAGCGCTCAGTCCACTCTTAAGTATTAAGGAAAAAGTACAATAATGAATCTGAGCTTAATGTAACGCATAAACTTGTCCATTGATGATAATCTCAGTTATGTAATTACTTCGCCTGGCTTAACAAGCCATTCCTCGTCAGTTGTCTTAACTGTTCATTTGTTTTGTGGCTCGAAGCGCTGAAACAACAGTTCGTAAAAATCCAGAGGTTTGAAAATATCCAGGTATAGGGAGTGCTGTTTTTCAGTCGTCAGTGTAGACATAGCCTCTTGCACATCGTTAGGAAGGTACTCAAATATCTCTTCCGATGTTGTCATCTCGGGATCTGATTGTCCGTATTTCCGCGTTCTCTTTGGGCGTTTCTTCTCCATAAACTTAGAAAATGTATGTTTTGCGGTTGAACTCATTTTCCACAACTTTAGTGTTGGCTCGAAATGTCTCGTAAAATCTGAAATTGGCAAAGGATATGAAGTACTGGGTATTTATAATCCTATTGCTAGCACCAACGCACCAACGCACCAATCAAAAGCTTTCTTTTGCTGATAGGATTGAGAGCGAATACTGAAAATATCCAAGTATAAGGCTTGGCGTAGAGTTGTAGGGTTAAGATTGTTTTTATTTCTAAGTAAGATATGGTTATTGAATAAAATTAGAGATGAATAACAAACCGTATATATCATAAATAACAATCTCTTTGAAGAACAAGGATCAAATCACGCTTGAAAGCAGTTCTCAAATAATCCGTTGTTTTTTCAACACTTAGAAAGTTAATTAGTATCCCCAAATAAGGTATGGACCAGAAAACTAACGAGACTTGACAAACAACGCTTGGCATGTAAACAGCCGTCCTTATATGCAGATGAAATTAGCCCAGGAGGGCAAGAAAAGTAAGCGTAGGACTCGGAATATCTTATTCCCCGCTTCCGATTGTGGGAACTCCTTTTCAGCACATTTACTAATTGGAAAACAACCTTGAAGTAAAGAGTGAGCGGAGGCGTAGAGTTCCATAGTGACATTGATTTTTATTTTCAAATAAGGTATTGTTCCAAAATGATTCTAGAGGTGAAAAACAAAGCGTAAACATCAAAGGAAAAGTAAACGTTGAAAACAGTTCGCAAATAATCCTTTGATTTTTCAATAATTAGGAAGCTAATTAGTATCTCCAAATAAGGTATGGTCCAGGAACTAGCGCGACTTGACACACAACACTAACATGTAAACAGCCGTCCTTTCTTGCAGATGATCCTGGGAGGGGCCAAAAAAAGTGAGAAACAACACAGAGACATCTTCAAAACTCACATTTGTTACAAAGCAATGCTCAATTTCAATTTTAAATTGAAATAGAGAAATAGAGCCTGAAAAGCCTGAAATTGTGAAAT